ACAAGACGACAGTAGTTTAAGGTGTATACTTGCGCCGAGTTCTATTTTTGTGTTGAATTCTAAGGTTGCATAAACCGACAAACACTATGCTTATCAACAGTGCATATTTTTAGTTAAATGAGTCTAAAACCTACTTAATTTCGATCCATGGCACATCTATATGATTCTTTTGTTCAAACTTGTTGCATCAACTTTTGCTGATTTTTCATGTTTTTTCTTCTTTTTCAAGTTGATTACTGATGTGAACTTTGTCCATTTCTCATGTGATAATTTCATTTATTTATTCATCTATCCCCAATGATCATGTTCTCATCTCCTGTGATTTTCACTTTTTTACTCATATCAATGTTATGGTAAGTTCCTGAGATGAAGTAATTCCTCAGAGTTTGCAATGGAACCTAGGACAAAACTGAATGGTGAAATATAAAAAAGAGAGACATTTGATGATGATATCACCAATTTGATGTTGAAGTTGAAGAAAAATTGCCAATTGTGAAAAAGCCTGATGTGTTTGATGTGAAGTGAAAGCAAGCCATGAGGTTAAAGAGAGTTGTAAACGGTGAGCATGCTCTTCCCTGCTCTTATTTTAAGTTTATGGTTTTGGACTATTGCAATAAATTAGATCCCTAGCATAATAAGATCTTGCTATAGCCTTATAGAAGGCAATACATTAGATCCTAGCATAAGACCTTGTTACAAGGTAGTAAATACTGGATCATGTTAATATAAATCATATTGAATATAAGTGGGATTTCAACCAATCTAAGGGGCTATTTGGTTGGTTTTCCATTAATCTAGTATTGATAAAGTTGTTTGTATAGATTAAACTCTCTGTAGAGATTAGGAAAGGTTTTTTCATAGATGGAAGGAGCGTCTTTTTTATTAGGAGGTGCAGGTTTGGAAAAACTTGGCATTCTACATAAAACTCCACCACCCCCCAAAAAAAAGCTTACTGAATAAGCCACTCCCTATATCATTAAGTAACTACCAAATAGTCATGTATAGCTGACTGAATAAGTTGTGAGTTTCATTAAGCTCCTAACCAAATACCCTAATTTGGCAAATCATGTCTGTGCCAAGAGCAACCCCATTCCCAGTGAACCTAGTATTAACACAATTCTTCAGAATCATTAACGTGCACTCCAAATTCTTGTGCTCATGTTAGAAGTGAGTACAAGGTACTGTTCGATTATAAAGTCCATTCCAAACGCAACACATCTAAGACAATTTTAGTGGGTTAGGAGGTTTGATAATTTTATGCAGACCCCCTTCAGATTCTGCAAGACACAGTGAATGGACGAATTTCGTGATTCACTCCAAATATTCAATAACTTGATTTATTTTAAAGAAGGGTCAAATTCCCCAATTTGTGGGAAAATGAAATGATTGAATAATTGAAAAAAAATGAAAAGGATATAGGATTTTTATCTAAAAAGAAATTTTAGATCAAGAATTTCAAACAGTTCATTTTGTTATAAACTAGGATTGGATAGAATTGGATTGTGTACAGAACACTTTCCTTAAGTAATATTTCGACCCTATAATGAATAATGGCTTTGGGTTTTTACGAAATTTACTCGAGGATAATCCAAGTTCGTACGCTGGTGTTTAGGTAGAAAATTGAGTCTCTATTCTTTTGTTCATATGTATGAATGAGACTTAAAATACCTTTTAAAGGTATGCACTCAATTGCGATTTCCAATGGTTATTTGATAGTTGCAGGAGGTTACAAAACAGTTAGGAGCATTTACCATCACTAAGTGAACACTCACTGATCAAGATAATGAGAACGCCGCTGATTAGTGTCACTGAAGCTAGCCAGCAGCTTCAGTGTCACCTCCTAATGCATACCGTTTAGGTTTTAGGGGCGATGCCCCTTAATCATGCCCTTGCAAGGGGTGCCGCCCCTTGAGTGTTAACCAGTGGCGGAACACCATAGGGGATTTTCCGAGCCATGGTCATCTTGTCTTTTGATTCAAATACCATATATGAACTTTTCAAGACGCATTTGACTGATGATTCAATTGGTTATCACCTTCTGGCCATGTCCTTGAGGTCACTATTTCAATTCCTTTATGTGGCATTTAATTATTTTCTATCATTTTTCCTTTTCATCCGGTACATATTAAATTATTAATATCAATTATATATAAAAAATAGTTCTCAAATAATATAAAAAAATAATGTTTAAGTTGGTAGATCATGTTATATTACTAATCTAACGGGTTTTTCTATTGCTTCATAATAATCCAAAAACATGACAAATTTGAATTACTATTTTTCGGTTAACAGTTTGAAGGTTTTGAGTTCTAATCTTGCATCAACCAATCTTTTATCTAAAATTTAATAGTAGATCATAGCAAAAAAAAAAAAAAAAACAAAAAAACAAAAAAACAAAAAACAAATGACATGCATATCATTTGGATCTCTAAATTTTTGTAATATTGTGTTTCGACCCCCCGGACTACAAAAGTCGTGTTCCGCCTTGGTCTTGACCCCCACCATACGGCATTCTTCGGTCATCTTGGGTTAAAGTTTGCTTATACAAGCATACACTCTGCAAGTTGTAACTCGTATTACAGCTTAACCAGAATCCCTTTAGTCTTTTGTAAATTCCAATTACACCTTATGGCAGATGATTACGTGGGTGTTTGGTACTACAAATTGGCTTATTAAAAACATATATTTATAAATTTTATTTCTTTACAACAAATTGACTTTTATAAAATATTATTTCTCTCTCCTATAAATTTTATTTCAAGGATTTTCATTGGTAGGAAAAATAAAAAATAATTTTTTTCATAGGTAATCATTTTGAAAAAAGTTCTTTAAATCTAAAAAATTTCGGTCACTGTCTCTTACTTTTCCATTTTTTTGAAGGTTCAGGGGAATCTGTTGAAACTAAAACTTCTATTTTAGAAAATCTATTGAAGATATAAGAATCCGTAGATATACGTGAGATGGATGTAGAACCGTGACATTTGGGAAGGAAGTGTGTGTGTGTGTGTCTAGCGGATGGGGAGATTTCTAAAATGTGTCCATACAAAGGGAGAGATAGGACAAGGATTGGTGATATATGATTGGTGACTCGTGACTCAGTTGCATAACAACCCGTGACATGTAGTAGCTTAAGACAAATGGGTCAACTCGCCTTATTTTCAAATTTAATTCCTACAATTACGCCTTTCAAACAATTCCTTCTTCCAACGTAAATCATGCTCTTAAATTCACTTGCACCACATGGAACACTCTATTATTTACTTTCATATGTATAATCAAAATTATTCATTATAATTAATATATATATATCACAGTATACAATGTAAATACAAGCAATTGAAGATTCTATCTACATCTACATGTCAAATGAATGATTATTAGGGTATTTTCAATTTTTCATTCCTTTGCAGTTTTCCTAATCCTATGATGTATACATGTATATTGATTGTTTTGCTAATATAAAACTTTAATTATAATAATGAATCTTTTATAAATACTTAAAATCATAATAAATGAACCTTCATTATTTTCATAAATATCTTAATTGAATGGTGTAGATTATTTATAAAACATCTTAATAGATTAGAACGAATGAAATGTACAAATTATATTTCTTGAAATGGATTTAGAAATTATATTTTTAATAAACTCTTAAATGGGAGACAGGGATTATAACATCCCATGTAGAGAAAACTCCAATCAACCCGACCCAATATATACATCCAAAAATAGAAGAATACAAACCCAATTTGAGAAGAGTAGAAGAATATGGTTAAATTGTAAGTTGATAGGAATGGAGGGGCACATCACATGGAATATGGGTTTTAGAGGTTCTCCATATTCAGGGGCATATCTTTTGCCCCCCACACCTTCACAAGCCAAAAACAAAGACTTGCAGCTTCACTAAAATTGGGATTTCCTGCACTAATTGGAGTAAATCATGGGCTATCATTTCAATTCCATAACTTGAGGTACAAATGGTCAAACTCTTTATAACTTTATTTTATTTAGAATAACCAAAAAAATCTAGGTCTCTTCGGCGTACTCTTGTTTCATTTTCTCGATGGGGGTCTGATTACAATATCTTCGTATTGTTTCTTCATTCTATTTGATTCTCTTGCCCATTATCTAGATCCCAAAATCATGTCCTCGTTACAACAAAAAAAAACCTTAATCGGACCAAACGTATCCAATATGTCACGCCTGATTTAACGTTTGCAAAATATTTTGGGGAAAATTTTGTCAAAAAAAGTTTGGAAGAAGTTGAAAAGTAGGGAGGAGTTGGGGCAAAAAGTTAAAGGAATTTAGAGAATAAAATAGAAAGATACAAAAACAAAAATTGGGGGTCTTTTAAGGAGCTTTTTTTACAAGCTTATGTTGCCAAAAAGTTGTTTAATATTGGTAATATATATATATATATATATATATATATATATATATTTCACCTTGTCTCATTGGATAAGGATCGAACATGTCTGTTTCACTTTGTTTTTTTTTAATTCATATCTATTACATATAAAAATCATATCAAACATTGAATAGTGAACCATGTTATGTTTTGTCTTATCTGGTGTATCAAGCACACCTTTAAAGATCTTCCTAATACAGAAGAAGAAGAAGAAGTAGAACATACAAAACAAAAAATGACTTATCTCGTTTAGACGAAAACATTAAACATTTAAGTTGGATTTATAAAAGGCAACAACAACAGGTATTTTAAAATAAGGAAAAGTTCGGAAAAACCAAATAGAGTTTCCGTATCCCATCTTGCTTAAATACGAATATTACATTAAGACGTGAATTAAGGTTAAATTTAAGGAAAAAAATGGATTGCGACGTGAATCAATAATTCTAAATTAGTCGCACTTTTTTCTTAAATTGGATTCCTTCTTTTTTGTTCGTTTTTTCGCAGTTAATCCCGTGATTTCTTTCACTTAACGACCACCCAACACAAGTAACTCCTATAAATCACCCCACACCTTCCTCCTTCACATTCAACCACACCATTAATGGCTCCACTTCTCCTCGTCCTTCTTGCCCTCACCTTTTCATCTTCCGCCTCTGCTTTCACTTCCCACCATTACTCCGACGCCCTCACCAAATCCATCATCTTCTTCGACGGTCAAAGATCCGGCAACTTACCCTCGAACCAACGTCTCAAATGGAGGGCTGATTCCGCCGTTAACGACGGTTCTTCCACCAATGTACCTTCACTGTTCCATTCTATTCAATTTTCAACACTGTTTGTGGTTGGTTCATTAATTTCCCTTTTTCTGGTTACTTTTTCCAGGTGGACTTGGTCGGAGGTTATTATGACGCCGGTGATAACGTCAAGTTCGGGTTGCCAATGGCGTTTACTACTACCATGCTTGCATGGAGTATCATTGAATTTGGTGATTCAATGGAATCCGAACTCGGGAATGCCAAAACAGCCCTTCGTTGGAGCTCCGATTATCTTCTGAAAGCAGCCACAGCCACCCCTGGCACCTTATATGTCCAGGTGGGTCCACCATTTTCTTGCATGCATGATATTCTACTTTGTAACCTTTTGTCTAATAATGCTTTAGAGAACGCTGAAAGACCTTTCCTGCTATGAAAAATAAGGTGGGAAGACTACGGGTTAGGATTAGTTGGGGTGTGTGCAAGTTGTCGTTATTAAAAAGGAGGTTTCTTGTATATGCTAACATTTTATAACCAAATTTGAACAGGTAGGGGAACCGCATTCAGATCACAGTTGCTGGGAGAGGCCGGAAGATATGGACACGCCACGGAATGTGTACAAGGTATCGCCACAAAATCCTGGATCGGATGTGGCTGCAGAGACGGCTGCTGCGCTTGCTGCGGCATCAATCGTCTTTCAAGATTCCGATCCTTCTTATTCGCGTAAATTACTACAAACAGCCAAGAATGTATGCCTTTTATCTTATTTGACTTTCTCTCTTTGTCGTACTTGGTTTTCACGGTTGTTACAACGGCTTTACTCTTTCGGATAGAGGTCAAAATACATCTTTAACATTAGAACAAAATAAAATTGGAGAAGCGTAGATTGTCTTAGTGTCCTAATAAAATAATTTATATAGCTTAGGTTTATAGGACCAAATTATAAAGCGTCATACTTAAAAGCGTTACAATATATTTATATAATGTTTTTAACAAGTTTTTAAAGATATTTTTAAAATAAAATGTCATATTAGCTATTTTATTGGATACTTTTGAAAAATGTTTAATAAACTCATCTTTTTATAATACATTTAAAAACTTGTTAAAATGTCTAAAGTATAAACCTATTGTAACACTTTTAAATATGACGCTTTTTGGTTTTCTCCTATAAAGTTAAGTTCTATTAAGTAATTTTTTATGACGCTTCTACATTTTAGGCGTTCTATAAAATCAATTTTGGTTGTAGCGCACCCTCCCCAAACCTCACCTCCGAGTAGGATATACTGTGTTTGTTTGATTTAGACGTAAGAATCCACTCATCGGGTTAACGAGCTAGTCGTGTTATGATGTGTCAGGTGTTTGATTTTGCTGACAAGTACAGAGGCTCGTACAGCGACTCTCTCGGATCTGTTGTCTGTCCGTTTTACTGCTCGTATTCCGGATACAATGTAAGATAAATATTAAACAACTACTGATCCATAACTTGTTTCATCGAATCACTGTTTCTGATGTTTGAAATTGATTCAGGATGAGCTGTTGTGGGGAGCCGCATGGATCCATAGAGCTTCTGAGGATGCTTCTTATTTGTCTTACATTCAATCAAATGGTCACACCCTGGGTTCAGACGATGATGATTTTTCCTTCAGTTGGGATGACAAAAGAGCTGGTACTAAAGTTCTTTTGGCCAAGGTAACAAACCCAATTGAACAAACCCTGTAAATGAGGTAGAATCTGGGGTAGGATGTACACAAGCCTTACCTCTACCCAGAGGATAGATGGTGTTTCTGTGAAAACCATCGACTTGCATAGCGAACTAGTCACACAAGTAGATACCTAGTAAACAAGAAAAGTAGGAAAAACCAAGGGCTTGTTTGTTGGTTTTTCATTAAGCTCTATATGGATACAACTGTCTTTGCGGATTTAATCTGTCTTTAGTTTGAGAGGATTTTTCAGTAGGTGTTTTTTAATTGGTAGGGACAGTTTTGGAAAAAAACTTGACTTTTTGCATAAAACTCCCATTAAAAGTTTATTGAATAAGCTGTTTTGTATTTCATTAACCTACTACCAAATAGTTGAGCAAATAAACCGTGGATTCCATTAAGCTTATGTAGCTGCTAACGAACAGACCCTAAGACCAGCTACCCCCTTCCCTCGTTAACTTCATTCTCTAACTCATGAATGTGTTTGTTTCATTGGCAATGCTCAGGGCTTTCTCGAGAAACAACTGGATCAGTTTCAGCTGTATAAACAACACTCCGATAACTATATTTGCTCAATCATTCCAGGATCACCAAATTCCCAGGCCCGATATACCCCAGGTATTAGAAACCAACTAGAACAATACACTTTCACCCCTCCACAACAAGATTAAGAAACTATTTGGTTGTTTTCGATTAAGTCATGTATGAATTAAGCTGTATGTATGGATTGTACTACAGGAGGGCTGCTGTACAAACAAGGTGAGAGCAATCTCCAGTACGTAACAACCTCCTCCTTCCTCTTGCTAACATACGCCAAGTATCTTAACTCCTACGGTGGACATGCTTCTTGTGGGGGCGTGACGTTCACAGCTGAAACGCTTATAGTACAAGCAAAAAAGCAGATTGACTACATTCTCGGTGATAATCCGATGAAAATGTCATATATGGTCGGGTTTGGTGACAAATATCCAACACAGATCCACCACAGAGGATCATCTGTACCATCTGTTCGTGTTCATCCTGATCACATATCCTGCGATGCTGGCCATCAGTACTTCAATGCGAAATCACCAAACCCGAACATACTTATTGGAGCAATCGTGGGAGGTCCAGATAGTAACGATAACTATGCAGATGATCGGAGTAATTATAGCCAATCAGAGCCGGCTACTTATATCAATGCGCCATTCGTGGGGGCTGCAGCCTTCTTCTCGGGCCGTTAAATCGGTTTTCGGGTGTTAATCAATGGATGTTTGAGGATTGAGAGATGCCAATAATGGCATATATATGATCCCATATCCTTTGGTTCTTCATTTCTTCAAATGAATTTAGTTGTTGGTTGCAGCATTTTCTAAAGTTAATGTATCTTTTGGTTTTACAAGATCTGAATAGAAATTAATGTCATCTTTTTGTTTCAACATTATTCACTTATGAATATTTAATGCCCTGCTTATTTAGTTATTTAGCATCTTAATTATTTAACCTCAACTAACACATGCTAATTCCTAGTAATCAAGTTAATGGATGTAAAATGATTTAAAAGGAAAAATAATTCAAGAGATTTTGTGAAATACAAGGGGTATAAAATGTATAATTGACAAAAAGTGAAAAAATAGTTGAAGGGTTTTTCTGAAATACAAGGGGTATAGAAAGTAAAATCGACCGAAAGCGAAAAATAAGCTCGTACAGCTTATTGAAACACTATCTAAAATAGATTTTTGAAAAATTTGGTTTAGGTCATCTGCAACAAGTTTGTTATATTTTGGGGATTTCTCCATTCGTTTTATTTTTCTTTATTTTAGATAAGATTTTTAGTATAGTTGTTGTAGCAAACTTTTTCCAAATTTCTAAAACAAGATGACTGTTGGAGATGCTTATTACTTACCAAATGGAGTTCTTTTTCTTTAGTAAGCTAAAAAATTAAGGGCATATTTGCTAGCAACTTAATGAGTTCAATGAGATTAACAACTTATTCTGTGAGATATACCTAACGATTTGATAGTAGTAAATAATATAGAAAAATGATTTATTCAGTAAGCTTCTGGAAAAAGCATTATGTTGAAAACCGAGTTTTTTTTTGTCAAACATGCTCTTTTCAATTAAAAACACACTCCTATCTATGAAAAACCCTCTCAAACAAAAAAATATATTCTAATTCATACATATAGATTAATCTAAATAGACAACTTTATCCATATAGACTTTAATAGAAAAACCATTCAAACATACCCTAGTTAACTTACATGTACCAACTAATTCTTAACCGATCATGATTTGTGAATGGCCTAAAGTCAGAATCATCTAGGTGAACCTGCAGGACTACAAAGACTTTAAACATCGTCTCGATTCAAACATAAAAGAGATGAGATTTTCAAAACAGCTCCTTGAACGATGTGGACCGTCATACGCCATAACCAAGAGGTTTTTCTATTGCAAATTTGTTGCTTCCATCTTACATTCTACAGAAATCCCATCTCAAGAATTCACTTTGACGACTCTTTTCTTATCAAGATTTCTTCCAAAATCTTATCTTTTTCACTTACTTCAAATCATCATCTACCCCAACCCCAGCCCCATGTTCATCCCTTCATCATTTCTTCTGACCATCAAGATTCATGTTGGACCATCATTAAAAAAATTCAAAACATTTAAAAGAAATAAAGAACATTGCTTGCAATAAACGCAAGAAAATACCAAAACCAACACAAGTCGTTGATCCAAAATTACATGAGATGATGAATGCATATGGGTTCCTTAAAATGTAACCAAAATTAGATAGTACTACAAACCATGTAAAATGTACATCTCCCAATGCACATAAAGGGAAATTTATAAAAATAACCGGTTTACACAACCCTTTGCCACAAAATAACCACATTTTAGAGGTTTTGCCAAAATAACC